CAATTTTCAGATTTCAGAGCTTTATCCTGTAAATTGGATTGAGGATTGGATTAGGTGGAGTTTTTTCAAGTGAGTCAGCATTGTAAATTTTTTCTAATGTTGGGCAACAAGGTCTAAAGTTGCTTAGCTAACAGACAGTTAAGCCCAGCCAACTTGGTATTCATCAAATTTTCCTTTTGTATTGTTCACTCCTCTAGTTTTAATTCTTTTTTTAATAGGTGCTTGGTTATTACACTCCCACAATTTGGAGTTCTGACTCCCAAGTTTAGGGGATGTGATCAAGAGGACCAAGGGAGCACCATCTCAGGATGCCCCCCCCCCTCCTAAACTTTCACTCCCTGCAATTTTTGGGAGTCATTCACCCCACTTTAGGAAGAGGGTTTGATTCCCTATATTTTTTTAATAAACAAATATCAGAACCCTGGAATGTTTGGGAGTCAAGGCTCCAAAATATCCAAGAGAATCAGAGTTGTGGGCACAGCCCACCCAACCATCAAGAAAGATTTGTACACTCTCAGAAACCGGGAGGGAATCCTTCCAGCCATTGGCATCAAAAGTGTACCATCTCAACAGCCAAGAGCAAACCCTGGTGGCCAAGAGTGTAAACTCATGAAGGCCAAGAGGATTCCTCTGGGCCATTGAGAGTGAAGACTCACATTTTCCGGATTCCTCCCAGCAGCTGAGGGTTTATGAATCTGATCAATGGTCTCCAGGACTCCAATATTTGTATGTAGGCTGCAACTGGGAGTTGTCAAATTTGGGAGTAAATTGACCAAGCCCCTATAAGTTACCCCTTTTTTACTTAAGCAGATTTATGTATTTGAATGGATTGATATGATCACTTAAAGCCATGAACCCAGCCTTAAGGCTCTGTTTGGCTGCCCAAAAGATTATATATTGATAATTCTCATAAAACCATTTATCCCAAACAAGCAGCTGCATGGCCTGCTGCAAAGCTCAAAAACGGTTAAAAACACTCTCTCTACAAGGGAAATCCAACATTCAAGCTGCACACATAGAAGATTTGTTCTAGCAAAACAAGCATTCAACATAGAGATGGCTTTGGGTACCTGCTGGTGTATGACAGATACCCACCAGCAACAATGGGCTGCTACACTAGATGGAACACTAATGTTAGCATAGCGACCCTCGAAAAAGTGTGCCAAACGTGTGTTGAAATTTTGATATATTTTTTACTCATTCCAAAATTCACACTTCTTTTCTTTCATCTCTCATGTTTTCATTCATCATTATAGCTTGTTTCTATCATCTAAGATTATGCATGTCTGATCAACATCCTTGTAGTCAAAGAACCCTGGTTAGTATGACTTATCAGCTAATAATATTTTAGTAATACTTGTTCATCACTTTGTAAACAGTCTATTCAAAACATAGAACTTTTTCCTAGTAAATGAAAACCCATTGGTTCTTCCTTCTTTTTCCACCACCCATGCTGTTCCAGTGAGATCATTTTCACTGTCTTCCTCTCCATCATAAACAACTTTTGGCTCACTTGGCTATTATTTCATCAACCTGTAGTTTTAGCACACTGTTAGTGTCAATACAAGTGGCAAAAACAGCCCAAAAACCACTAAAATGTGCTGTAGCGCAGTGGCCTACACACGTAGCGCTAGCAGAGTCCTGGTAAGATTACAAGTAGCGCTAGCAGAGTCCTGGTAAGATTCTGCTGCTCCAATGCTAATGTTAGTGTAGTGGGCCCATCATTGCCACCGGCAGGTGCCTTCTACAGGTGTGGGTGTCAAAATTGAGTGGAATTCCAGGCAGGTACCTGGCCATAAATTGGGGCTGAAACAGCCTTTTTTTCGCTGTTTGTAACTCTTGTTGGGTTCCTGCAACCTGCCAGGGTGAGCAGGTACCCCCAGTGGGTGCTGGGTGCCGGTTCAGGTGTCCAAAATAAGTGAAATTTCATGGAGGTACCCGCACCCATCACGGGCAACCAGGTGTGAATTTCCATCTCTAATTCAAAATCTCAATCATGAACTTCACTAATATTTAGGGTTATAATGGATTTGCATGATGTGGTGAGGAGAGCACAACTGGACTAGAGATGGCCCCAACACATCCAGATATCTGGCTGATTTTTTAGGGGAATCAGCCATCTGCACCCGCATCCACATCCGCTGGCGGGTACCCAAGCAGATATCTTTGGATATCCAGCAAGGCACATGTACCTCTTCAAATGGAAGGAAACCCTTCCAGTCAACAAGCTACATGTACCTTGTCAGCCTTGAGACGGTACAGTCTCCAGGCCGAGAGGGTCTCTGACGAGTATCCCTGGAGATACCCAGATACCCACCAAGATTCCAAGGATAATTTGGCATCTGCGCCCAAATCCAAATCCTCTGGCAGGTATCTGTTGGGCCAGGTGGCTATCCGCATTAATGGATACCCTGAGGCCATCTCTAACGTGTACCAAAGCTTTGGCCAAGCTATTTGGTGGCTTACAAAAAGCATGCAGAAGCTGAGGAAAGCATACAGATCTGAAATAAAGCATGTGGAGCTGACAGAAAGCACACAGAGCTTAAAGAACACATTCAGGCTGAGGAATGCGGGAAAACTGCAGGGTAGAAATTCAAGATTTCTGAGTTTGTGGAAAGCAGGAAGATAGCAGGGATTGAATACACAAAGTGTTGGAATTTCCACTCTTTTCTTCTCATTCCTAAAAATTCACCTCACTCAAACAATGCTTATATACAATGATATGCATAATTCTGTTATGTTTTGCAAGTGTCTGAGTGGTACCTTGTCTCATTGTATATTGCTGAAATCCCCATAGTCTTTGAGCCCAATTCTGGTCTTTATCAATAATCATTTGCTCCTTTCATCCTTTCATGCATATGTTAATTTGTTATTCAATTTTATATTCAATTTTTTCTTACCCACATGTCAAACTTCTTGTACATAGACTGCTTAATGCCTAGTCTCTTTTAAGTAAAAGAATCATTGGCTGTCCTCTTATTTTCAAAGTGCCACCAGTTCCCCCAAAACAATTGTGTAGCACTGAGTCTGTCCAAAAACAATTCTCCCCTCATCAGTTTAAAATTTCATCACAAAGTTCTGAGGTGGCCAAACATGGGAAATATGGCTTCTGGCGTGCTCCAAGAGTATACAACCGACTACAGAAGGGCGCTAGGGAATGCTGCGGAGGGGCTAGGGAAATTGGGGGCACCAAGATGTGGAAGCAGGGTTTGGCGCGGCCAGATCAGAGGTGGAAGTGGAGGTGAGATACCAACTAAATATTGGCCAGAGCAGAGAACTAGTTGGGGGCCCTTGGAGAGGTGAATAGCAGAGTGCAAAGGAGTTAGGGAAGGTGACATTGTGGGAGAGACAGAGCAGAGTGATGTGGGATACCAAACCAAGGGGGACTTTTGGAGGAAGGATTGAGAGACAGGGAGGAGACTTATGACTTAGAACATCTCAGAAGAGAATAGAGAATAGGAGTAGTATTGTTATTAGCCTAAGTAGAAGTTGTTAGAGAAATTCATAGTTAGAGTCAAGAGCGGAGTATTAAGATAGCAATAACTAGTTTACCTTACCAACTAGATCATCAAGCAAGTCACCCCTGACAACAAATTGAAGAAATATAGTGTGGCAGAGCAAAGAAGGTCAATAAAATCTCCATGGATGTGCCCTTCATTCCACAATGGCTGTGTAATAATTGAATTAGGGTTGATAAATTTCAAATCCAATTATTAGGATTTGCATCTCAAAATATATAACATTTTGGTTTTCCAAATTCTGGATTGTCTTGTTTGTAGGATCAGAATTGATGTTATCTTGATTTCTGCTGTCTTCCTACAAAGACCTGGCATGTGAGATCATCCCGCACTTGATTTTTTTAGTCTAACTTTTGATTTTTGTTTGTTAGGTTAGAGTTAAGCTAGGAGTAGGGCTGTAACCCAAACAGCACACCCTGGGGCATTTCACAGGATGTGACCCCTGGTTCTGGTAATTGGAGCTTGATTCCAATGTCCCCGGTGTACCAGGGGCATCAGAGGCCTGATAGGAAGGATCAAAAATTGAGTCTTTTTTTGACTTATTGTTTCACTTTCAATAAATTTCCAATAGCTGTACTATACACTAAGAGGTCATGGTAAGCAATATGATTGACAGTTTGCATTGCTATAGATGAAGTTTTTTGTGACTTTGATGAGAAAACAGATAAGAGACCAGTTGCAATGGAAGAAACAAAGAAAAAAAGTCCAGCCAAGAAGAATCCAGAGAATTATGAGAAGAAGGTAAAAAGAAAACTACATTCAGTCATCAGTGGTTCAGTACCATTCCCAGGGGGCACAAAATTCATTCAATAGGCTTTGGCTTCAAGTTAGATCACTGCCAAGAGAGTTTAGAAAACACTTGTTGGGATGCAGTGCTTGTTGCTGGAGTACATAGCCAGAATGGTTTGCACATACTATGTATGCACCATCTTGGACACGATGGGGAAAGTTTTTGATGGTTAGAGAATGTTGAACATATCAAAAATCACCCGGGGCATACCTTGAACCCCGCCTGGCCCGGGGTTTTGTGCTTCAGGATGACGTCCACGCCCCGGCCCGAGCCTATTAGGAGCTGCAAGAGTGGAGCTGTGCTCGATCCAACAGAGACAGATCAAGATGGGTTATTATTATTTTTTCTGGTCCCTGTGTGCAACAGGTACAGCTTCTGTAAAATGAGTCCAGCATGAGCTTCATGGACTATTCAACTGGATGTGCTTGCTTTAGCCAAGTCGAGTTTCCAATCCGAGTAAGTTTGATGGCTTTGTGAATAGCTTGTTGGTCTTGCCTGCTTTCTTTCTTTAGGCTTGGCCGTATCTTCATGCTTCAGAGGGAGACATGTGTTGGGCTGTTCCTTTTTTTTGTTCTTGAAACTCCTGGCTGTGATTCTTTCGTTCCTCGGCTGTTTTCAGAATCTCACTTTCGACTGATCCTGGTGCTGTGCTATGTTTTTCGTTTTTCGGTTTTTTTCGCTGGGGTAGTTGCTTATGTAAGCTGCTCGGTTTTCCATCTATTTATCCTCCTCCCTCTGCAGTCCTCCTTCGCTCCTTCCCCTATCATCACCACTTCAACCTAAAATTCAAAATTCATCACCCACCATGACCGTCGCCTGTTTACCACATCAAACCGAACACCACCATCAACCGATAGTAAGCAGTGAATCATCATCTAGTAAACAACAACCCCAAAGATCAAACCGTTGACTGTTGTTTTTTGCTTTCTAGACTGCAGGAGATCTGTCAATCCTATCGTTGCTCACCAAGAACTCGTCGTCTTACTCTGGAAAGTTCTCAGATAGGAGACCTCGACTGGACCCTCTCATCCTGGAAACCGCTGCCCTCAGCAGTCCAGCGTCAGTCTCATCTACTATCCTCATCCAACTTGGATGCAAGATTATTGATCCGGGGTTTTTTTTTTACAATCTGCTCTGTGGACCAGTCAAACCAGGAACCATTATCTTCATCAGTATCACTCTCAATATCAACCTCGACAGAAACAACAACAAATCCAACAAAATCATCAAAGTGATATCGAATCCACCTCGACTTGTTCCACATTCTCTCAATCTCCATCTTCATCGCCCCGCTCCTCACCCACTCGAATCCTCCCCGGACTCCACAAACCGACGATCCAAGAGTGTATCCATCAACTGCGACACTCGCTTCCCCAAACAGAAGAAAGTCTAGTCGGAGCCCAAAAGAAGTCATCTACAACAACAAGCACCAAGAAAGATGGCAGTCCGTTGAGTGTGAAGTGCCAAGCCCGGACGAGGATTCCGACTCCAGACGGCCAGCTCTGGCTGCATCTTTATACCAACAACCGGGACCAGAAGGAGCATCTAGCGTTTGTGATCGATGAGGAACAGATGATGAATCCGACGAGCAAGGCCAACTCGAGACGCTGGATCCGATCGAGCAGTTTGGATGAGGTCTGGAGCGAGGAAGAGACGGAGATCGAGCGGCTGATCCGTGGGGCTTATGTGGGCAGACTGGACAAGAACCAGCGCCAGATCGAGACCTTCTATCGGCCGACGGACCCCTCTCCCTCGGACCCACAGAAGAAGAAGAAGGATCCAGAACAAGACCGGGCGAATGGGGGCGAGCTAGACAATCTCAGCCAAGTGCCGATCGTCCGGATCCATAGCGAATGCTTCACCGGCGAGACCATCGGCTCTCAACGCTGTGACTGCGGCGAACAACTCTCCGAATCGATCCGCCACATCTTCTCGACGCCTCCTTATAAGGGCGCAGTGATCTATCTCCGTCAGGAGGGCAGAGGGATCGGCTTGTTGAACAAGATCAAGGCGTACAACCTCCAAGAGCTAGGCTTCGATACGCTCGAGTCTAACCTCTTGCTCGGCTTTGGCCCCGACTTGAGGGACTATGAGGTCGCCTATCAGATCCTCTCCGATCTCAAACTGCACCAAATCCGGCTGATGACGAACAATCCAAACAAGATCGAGGCCCTCACCCTCTCGTCTTCTTCTTCTTCTTCTTCCTCGACTGTCAATTCTTCTTCTTCTTCTTCTCCTTCTTCGGAGATTAAAATCCTCGAACGGATCCCAATGATCCCTAGACAATGGCAATCTATCTCCCTCCAAGACCAGAAAAGGATCTCGAGAGCTTACAGCCATCAGCTCGAGCCCTTGATCTCGTTGGACGGACAAATCCAAAACCAGTCCTCTCCTCATCCTAAGCTCCCTTCTTCTGACCTCATTCACTCTGAAACCGAATTAGATATCTACCTGCGTACTAAAGTTAATCGAATGCGTGCGTGTTTTTTTTTTCTTCTCTTTTTCTGGATGGCCTCATCTGTTGACTGGGCATTTTTTTTTATCTTTAGGTCATTTGATTCCACTGCCTCATCCTTCTTCCTCTTCTGGTTCTCCTTCTACACCATCATCACCTCCTTCGAATCTTTCCTAATACTTTTCTTCCATCTATCCCCCCTCCAAAAAAACCCCCCTATACAGACAAATATGTATAGAAGATCTTCTCTCTCTCTCTCTCTCTCTTAACAATATACATAATTCACTTATCGTTTTTTTTTTAAAAAAAATACATATATGTATATATGTGTTTCTTTTTGGTCTATGTATGTATCTTCTCAAATGATTATGCTTACCATTTTGTTTTCTTCTAGTCTTTACAGCAAGTCAGAGCGAGCAGAAGAAGAACTAGCTTTTTTTTTCTTCTTCTTCTTCTGTTCTGAATATCTCTTCTAGAATTTGATGTGGATCTCACATCATCATTACCTTTCTCTTCCCCTGTTCCCTTTTTTTTATTCGACCTTCATTTGAATAAGCACTACTCTTCCACACTTTTTTAAGACTCAAACCGTCTGATGTTCTGTAGAGATTGAGAAGAAAGAAGTCGGGTGGTTGGAGTGACTGATCTGTTTGGGGTGTGCATGAGATCTGGAATTGACCAACTGTGTTGTTCAGTTGTTTGGTCTGCAGATCTTTCTACATATTTACTATCAGAAAATCTAGGCAAGCTTGGCTCCTTTTGATGTACTGATTCTCGGTCCAATGACAACACTATTTTGTTTTTTTCCTTTATCTGAGACAAAGATGCAATTTGTTTCTTTCGTATTGCCCTTGAATTGATTCGTTTGAGTGGTGATTGATTTGTCAGCAATCAATAGTTTATGTAATCCGATTCCTTGACGATCCCATTTTGTGAGGGGGAGCCTACTACGTCACAAACTCATACGGCTATGAAGTTATCCAAGAGGATAACTCGCCAAAGATGACGCAATAAACTAAGTATTTTGTGTTATAGAAACTTTTATAAGTTTAAACAGAGATTTTTGAATTTGTTTTTAAAGTTAAGATTCTTTAGTATTTTAATTCTGAGGAGAATGTAAATAACAAGGAATATCGAGATGAGGAAAAGAAAGAAAGGGAACAAAGATCACCAGAATGAAAGATCATAAGGAAAATCTATGATCGACAAAAGTAATAAAGAAAACAGGAACTGATCGTCATCGGAATGATGTCATCTAAGAGGAATGATGTCATGAAGACTTCCTCGATCGAAAATCATAAGAAACATAGCATGACATCATGGTGACCTACATCTAAATGCATAGCATTCATTATGTAAAACCCATAATATCAGTTAAACCCATGATTTATCACAAAACAGACCTGCCTATTACCCCAAATCGTCATCAATCTCTTCCAATTGTTTTTTATTCTTTTTATAATACTTAGCATGGGCCACCTTGAAAGCATTTAAATAAACTCCTAAAGAAGTTGGCAAATGTTCTTCAGCTACCCATGTGTTATTAGCCACCGTAGAATCATTCCAGGAGAGTAAATATTCATCTTTACCTTTCTTTACTGACCTTACATCCAATATCTGATTCAACTTCTTCCAATCAACAACTTCTCCCTCTTCATAATACCGCTCCTTTATTCCATCATCAATCTTCCTGTCAATCAAAGAATTAGTCCCAACATAAGCTACAACCAATCCCACATTGAAAACCGGATGGAGTTTTGGATATTCTCGAGCAATGTCTAATCTTACTGCATTCTTACCAACCATTTCTTCCACCACGAACGGGCCGATGTATCTATAATCTAATTTTTTATTTATTCGACGAGATTGAATAAACTTTCGCAACAGAAGAACCTTCTGCCCCTTCTCGTAAACAGGGGAGTCGCGCTTGCCCAAGTTGTAATACTTAGCCTGACGCACTCTTGCTTGATTTAAACACGCCATCGCCGTCTCTTGGGTAACCTGTAAATCCACCACAAAATCATCTAAATCCCGGCGCCCAAATGAATCAGTCATGATGTTAAATTTTGGATGATGACCATAAGTAAAAAAAAATGGGGAAACTTTGAGACTTGACGAATCCATATTATTAATAGAAAATTCAGCTAAATCCAAACACTTATCCCAATTGTCCTGGTAGTAGGAACAGAAATGTCGCAGATAATCCTCCAACACTTGATTCATCTGCTCAGTCTGTCCATCTGTTTGAGGATGATAAGCCGTCGACGGAGCTGATTTTATGTTCAACGCAATCATCAGTGACTTCCAAAAATTACTTACAAAGGTCGTGCCTCTATCCGAAATAATCTTATCAGGCAATCCATGAAGCCTAAAGATGTTCTTACGAAATAAATTTGCCAAAACCATAGAGGAAGATGCCTCATTACAAGGAATAAAGTGTGTCAATTTGCTTAACAAATCAATCACAACCAGAATGGAATCAAAACCAGCAGAAAGAGGTAACTTTACGATCATGTCCATACCAATAACACTCCACGGATGAGGAGACGCCACTATCGGAATTAATTTCCCATCCTTCAAGCGTCGTCTTGCCTTAACACGTTGACAAGAATCACAAGACTGAACGTACTTCATCACCACGTTTCTGATGTCAGGCCAAGAAAATGTGCGTAGAATCGTCGAAAGAGTCCTCGCAATACCGGGATGTCCCACCGTTGGTGCATCATGATACATATGAAGTAAACGAGTCCGTAAGATCTCAGGAACAAAAACCCTATCTCGGTACCATAACACCTCATTTCTCAACCGTAAGGCCTTATTTTTCATATCTTCATCAGTATAATTCTTTATCAAATATTGTAACATCTCCGCATTAGGGCGCTGAAAGTACAAATCATGAACAGACTTATCAATTTTCACTGCTGAAACATCCACCATCCTGTTTGCAATCGCACTCGAATCGGGAATCTCTCCTCGTTCATCACCAAAGTCCTCTCTTCGACTCGGAGCATCGGCTGGATTCCTTTTTCCCGCAATGTGAATGATCTTCATGTTGAAGTTATCTAGGTAATTTGCCCATCGTGCTTGTTTGGGAGAAAGGTACTTAGCCGTCTTAAAGTATAACAAATTCGAATGATCTGAAAAAACTGAAACTGGATTATCTGTACCCATTAACCAAGCCCTCCACTCCTCAAAGGCGGAGACAATAGCCAACAACTCCAAATCAAATATTTGCCACGAACGCTCCCGATCAGACAACTTCCGTGAGAAATAACTGACTGGCAAAGCCACGCCATCCGAATTTGGTTGACTCAGAATCGCTGCAATTGCATATCCCGAACTATCTACATGAAGAATACGATCCTTTTCAAAATCAAAATGCATCAACAATGGTTCATCAACGAATAATAATTTTAAAGCCTGAAAAGCATCCTTCGCTTCCTTACAACCAAGATCCGACGAAGCTTTAAACTCATTCTTGGTCATCGATGTCAACGGACCAGCGACAGTGGAAAAATTTGGAATAAATCGTCGATAAAAGTTTGTGAAACCTAAAAATCGCTGAACTGCTTTCAAAGAGGAAGGAAATGGCCAATTTGCGATTGTATCTAACTTCTTTCGATTCATCTTCAAACCCAGATCAGTAATATCAAAACCCAAAAAAGTGACTTGTGAACAAAAGAATTCACACTTGTTCCTAGACGCCTTTAATGAACATTCTCTGAGCTTCTGTAGAATTTTTTGTAAATCTTGAAGATGTTGCTGTCTTGTCTTTGAATAAATTAAAATATCATCAATATAAACGAAACAACACACATCCAGATATTCTCTCAACACATGTTGAATAAACCGCTGAAAGGTTGCTGGTGCATTAGCCAAACCAAAAGGCATTACCTGATATTCGTATAAGCCCCAAGGTGTCCTAAACGCTGTCTTCCATTCATGACCTTCAGCCACTCGCAACAAATTGAAAGCTGCTTTCAAATCAATCTTGGAAAGAAATTTACAACCATGCAAGTTATTCAAAAGGTGAGCAATCACTGGTAAAGGATAAGAGTCACGAATAGTCATCCCATTCAAAATTCTATAGTCCACACAAGGTCTATCCGCCTTACCCTCCACTTTAACATAAAAGATAGGAGCGGCCGCCGACGATGAGGAAACTCTAATAAAACCTTTCTTCAAGTTGTCATCCACATAAATTTTCAACTCATCTCGCTCAGACTTACTAAGATTATACATTCGTCCAAACGGTGGAACACTGTCTTTCTTCAAGTTCACCTCACAATCAAATCCCTTCCGATGAGGAGGCAAAGTTGCCAATGCATCTGTTACAAAAACGTCTGAAAATTCCTTCAACAAAAAGGAACCATCATCTTCCTCCAAGGCAGAAACTACAACAGCTCCGTTATGAATCAACACATCAGTGTTACAACCCCCAACAAAACTGTTCGACTCCCTTAACCAGGAGTTTCCTAAGATAACATCAGAAGAGGAAATAGTTGTCACGTTCAACTTAACAAAGGTTGAAATCTCCGAAGCAGAACTGGTGGGAATTAACAAATCCCCTTTTACGAATGACTTAATATCACCGGAGCTAGCAAAGGAACCATCGAAAGATCGGACCTGTACGCTATTTTTTAAATCAAAGACTTCTAAACCATTCTGCGAAACAAATTTAGCATTGATAAACGAAGAAGAAGCACCAGAGTCAATTAATATCGAACACATGACAGAACGATCAGTACTCAATTTAAGTTTCCCCATGACAAAAGGTCGTAAATCAGAAGAAACATTCATCTGCACATAAGCAGGATGCTCACATTCATTATACTCCATTTCCGCTAATTGCCGAGCGAAGCACATGTCTCCAACAGACATTGGCCCTGACTCTACCACATCCACAGTAACTGAACGACTGTCACCCTCGCCATCCGGGGCCTTCATCTTTCCCGCCCTCTTCTTCGATATTGGTTCTTGATTGATCTCCGAAACCGATACTCTCTTCTTGCCCTTGTCAAAACAATCAGCCGGCGCAGGTGATGCTGGTGGTCGATCTGTCTGACGACCCGACGTCCCTCGCAAAGAACCTGAAGGAAGATTAACCGGAGCCCATCTAGATTCGTCCGGTTGCTCCAACTCGCCAGAACAACGTCCTCTTTCATTCCAGATATGCCCCCCCCAATCCTTCCAAATGGCCAAGCATTGCGGCTTCGAAAGATGATGCTTTTTAGCAAGAGGGCAATGATGAACAACATCGTGAGCTGAATCCCACGTTCCTCCGCATCGATGGCACAAGTGTTGAAGAATACACTCTTTCTTCCAATCTTCATAGGTGAAACCGATCTGAGCCGCTAAAACATCGATGTCCATCGGGATAGCTTCTGAAAGTTTCGGCGGAGGAACCACAATCTTCTGTTCGACTCGTTGAACTGGACGTTGGGAACCGGATCCAGATTGATTCTTGTTCTGATTTATCTTATCGATGAAACCCAATCCCGCCACATCGGTAGCTAACTTTACCGCCATCTCCTGTTTTGAGTCAAGGTCAGTAAGTGTCGTCCATCCACCGCGCAACATTCCCAGCTGAACAATCTTCGGATTGATTGCATCGTCATAAAATTCACACTTCGACGACTCAGATAAATCAACCGAATACAACAAAGAGTTGAAATAGAGGTTAAATTCTTCGATTGAAGTGTTGCCTTGACGAGCCGCCTTGAGCAACTTGCGGATGTCTTCTTCTTCTTTATGATTAGAAAAGACCGACTCGATGGCTAGAATAAAATCCTCGGCCGTACTGAGCTCCTGCAAAACGAAATCCGGTTTGGACGAAGTCCGTCTTTCGGATCGAGACCTTGCTCGACAGCATTCTTCTTTCATAAGGTCCTTGCCATCAAACGAACGATGGACAGTATCTCTCCAACCGGGCCATCCGCTTTACGAAAATAACTCGCAATCCACATGACTCTTATGCTTTCTTCGTTTG